GTCCAAGTCGCCTCACTTTTTCGAGGCGCCAGTGCCTACTGTTTCTAGAAATCAGATTCTCTCTGAAACTCAGACCATTCCCTTTCTTATAAAATAGTATGGCCTCTTCACCGATCACTAAGCATTTATGCTATTTATAATCGTATGTGACCTAGTCCATCTTAGAGCCGCATTTCATTGAACCAATCAATTCATTGAATCGGGTAGAAATCGGCAGCCTCCTTTACACACTACTAAGGGTGTGCAGAACTTTGAGTACGGCTGATCTTTTAGGCTCAGTAGACCATACTTAGGTGCCCGCAACCATAGAAATCAGTACAGTTCTTATACATTTTTATCATATTTTATCAAATTTACAAGTATTAAATAATTTGATTTAGGCATTTTCTCGTAATATTTGCTCAAACATTCACCTTCTATTGTTTTGGTGGCTTGTACTCATATTCCATCCCTCCTCATTGGCTTGCATGAAGCAGAGGTGTGCTTAAAATCAGCTGATAACCACTCGATAGTTACGGTCAGCCACAGTAAATACGCCAAAATGCAAAAAACCTAGACACCGCAGCAACCGACTGCTCGACTGCCTATCTGGCTCACTAAGTCTGCAATCATCAAAGTGATAACGGCCCTGTTGAAGGCGACCACAAACAAAGTTGTTGATCAGCTAATGTACTGATCCACGCATGGCTGTCCACCTATTATAGCACCCGAAATCACAACCAAAGTCTGTGTGGGTGACGGTGATTTCGTTTCCCACCATACACGCGCTCGTACGTGGTATCAAATGACTGGCGTTGGGCTAGATGATCCTGAAACAAATACATCACAATACTCGTTGCAAAAATTGGAGTACGACCGATTGCCATATCCGTCTATATTGATGTGCATCCACACGACCTACGAGAGAGGTAGGTGAAGTGGAGTAAGTACGCAAGAGTGAGTAGAAGGAAGTGGAAAGCATACTGGAGCTGACTAAGTACTGGGTAAATAAAATAAATAAAATAAATAAATTACCTTGGATGCTCGCATTCACCTCAAGTGTTAAAGTGTAGTGTAGAACAGGGAATACGTGTCACAATGCGGGTGCTCTGTATTGCAGAT